GTTGCAGAGTTCCTGTTTTGAATCACAGATGAAGCCCAAATGTAAGATGGTGCCTGACTCTGTAAAAAAGCACAGGTCATGTTTTAATGCAATGTTAACAGCACTTTTCGTGATACCTGTTTTAGTACACCATCTGTAGTCCAAGCATACAGTCCCTTTGGGTATACAGAAAAGAGTGAGATATCTTGCAAATGTGATTAATTTCTGGCAATTCAGGTAGCTTTCTCTGTCAAATTGAGTCTGACACATAAAGATAAAACTTGGTGGTTTTGTGTTGGGATTTTTTCTCATTTATTACATGAAAGGGCTAGCACAATAACAATGAAATTCATGTCTAAACTGAACCATTTTCTCAGCATGTTTCCCTTCAATATTCCTAGGTGGCTTCTTTAGAGAAGTGACATAGTATTCATGGATTTTCTCTGACACGGGTGAATAAGCTACACTTTCCTTAAATAAGCTATGGGATCCTGTAGTTCCTTTCTTAGCGGATTTAACCTAGTTAACTCATTATACACAGACGAATAAACTCCTTTCCATTACACTGAACTCAATCATACACTGTGGCACTGCATGAACTTTAATTATGTGGTTTTATCAAAGCAACAAAACAGTCAGTTTCAGACTTTTTGGAATATCTCCTGACTGTCCATTTATAAAAAACAGGTAACACCAGACCTTTTTACCCATGTTTGTGGTGACAGCTGCCAGCATAATGAAAAAACTATTCTGATTTCATGAAATCCTATTTCTGATAGGTCCTCTTTGGCAGATTAGTCAGTCTTTTCTGTCATGAAAGGCAGGCAGAAGTGGATAGGTTAACAAATTCAAAGCCATATTGCTTGAGTCAAATCTTTAAAAGCAGGAGTTTTACATACAATGGATGCTATAGCAAGTATGCTATTTCTCCAAACAAAGAGTTGCAATTGATCTGTCTTGGGAAAAAAAGAGTAAGATACTGTTTAATGCAAAAAAAAAAAAAAAAAAAAAAAATTAAAAACCAACAAACCAACTTTGTAGTCATCTTTAATTATTATGGGAGAGATTCAGAGCCCATGGAAATCAATGGAACAATTTCAATGCACTTTTGATCGGGTCCGTAAATAGAATTGCTTTGTGAATCACTGTGTTGTGTTGCAGCAATTCAATACAAACTGCTTCAAAGGATTTACTGAATTTCCAGAGAGGAAGTGTTGGAATTTCATAGAAAATAAAGAAAAACTCCCATATGTGATTTGGATTCTTTCAGAGTGCAGCATTCAGAATGCAAGAGAAATAAGGAGTATGGTTGATATCGTTTCAGGGATTAATTACTTTGGCACTCCTTGAATGTAGCACTGCTCTCCACTTCCAGGATCCATTGGTAAGAAATGTACACTTTTTTCTCAGAAGCCACGCTGGCTGCTGGACAGATAGTCGAAGAAACCACATCAGTCCTATGTGGGAAGTGTAGCTGAACCCTCTGCTTACAGGAATCTTCCAGCTAAGATGGGCAATGACTGAGTGGCTATTATTTACTTAGGGTTTCAGGGTCTGCCTTCAGTCTTGGGACCAAGTGAGAATTTACCCTCAGCCATGGCAGATCCCAGGTGTAAAGGCTCTCTTCTGCTTTTTGTGTCTCACTGTCTTTTCGTGTTTCCATTATAAACCAAAGTCCTAGCATTAAATTTCTCTTGAGGATAGAATTAACTTAGAAATGACCAGAACTATTGCCAGAATGGGGCATCTTCTCCTTGGCAGCACTTTATAATCACCCGGAAGAATTGTATAGACAACATAGAGAGGGGGTGTGTCAGGACACTGAGCTCTCTGCTCTACCAACTTGAACAAAGCATGTAACTTCTCTAACTATTCCAACACAACCTTTACTCAGCTCCCTGACTGCAGAAGAGACCTGCCTGAGGGAAATTCAGGTCTATAACATTTCTTTTCCATTTGCATGAATATGCTATTTACGCGTACCTATTCAGATGCTCCAAAAGCAACAAAATTAGTTATTTTTTCCATGTTGTTAAGTTTTATCCCCTCTGCCTCTGGGTATTTTGTGGTGCATTTCCTTGAAACCAGATCCCTTGTTTCTATGCAAGACCTCTGAGTAAAGAAAGCAGCAACAATGGGAAAGTTTTCTTCTTTTTGCCTGTATTAGTTACTTGGGTTTGATTTCGTTTGGATTGTTGCTATCATATTAGGTGGTTATGCTACAAATACTGGTTTCCATGCTGCAGTATATCAATTAGTGGTGACACAGGACAAAGAAATGTTCATTATTTTTTACATTGCTAACCAGGCAGGTTCAATTTATTTGGTTTCTTATTTCCTATTCTTATCTCATGTACAGATAGTCAGGAAAAAATGAATGGTCTCTGTGTCTGGAACCAACATATGACATTCCTGTATTGGGATAGAATAAGAAACAGCATAGAAAGAAAAGGGTGGCCATATAATCAGATACAGAAAAATAAAAAAAATTCTCAGTGCGTTGGTCAAGTATTAGAAGGATGTCAGAATTACTCATGAAGACATCTGAAAAAAAGGCAACCTTCTGTTATGGCACAATTACTTTCAAAGTTGGTTCCAAAGTACAACCAGCAATACACTGAATGTACTACTAGTGTTACATCTTCTGAGAGGATGAAATGTTGCAATCAAAGGACAGTATGAAAAGATGCATCAGAGTTAAAAGAAAATCCATGCCACTATATCATGGCAGTATTTTTTCTTGCTTGTGTTTATTGTATTTCTGTCTGTGCATGTTTTTTCATACTTTCTTATTGATAATTTTAGGGAATATTAAAGATAAAATTAAACTTCTTTATCTTCTTTGTTTCTTTCCTATACTAAATCTAATGAGGTAAAATTCAGATAATATACAAATCACATATGTATCTTCTGAGATTTTAGACACAGACCTAAAGCAATGAATCAAAAACATGGCCAACAATACATGAAAACACTGTCCTTGTGTTGTTAGTCATATACCTTATAAGATTATGCAAATTTTTTTTGTTGGGTGGGAGGGACAACACACCATCTTGCTGTGAAATTCTGTACACAAGGAGCAGTCAGCTTTTTCTGCTTCAGAGAAATTTATTTTCTACGGGGAACAGCAGTAGCTACAGCAGTGCTGCAGAAACAGCAACACGAGCAAGGTGCTCTCTGTGAGAATAGTGTTGTGACCCCCACAGCTAGCAAGTTATATAATTACAAAAAATATTCATTACTTCCATGCCAGCCCAGCTAGAGGTTATAGGTACACTGAAATTCACTTTGAAAGACAAGAAACATTCAGGCTTATGGCCTGCCTTTCAGAAAAGAACAGAAGGCACAGCCCCATTACCTAACTGTGAAAGTTCTTTATTACTTCTTCCAAGCATATTTACTGATTCAGCATATGCAAAAAGAAAAAAAAAAAGAAAAAAAAAGAAAAAAAAAAAAAGAAAAAAGCCCCAAAAAAACCAAAAATCCCCAACCAACTAAAACCACAAACAAAACAAACCAAACCAAACAAACAAACAAAAACCCACCCCACAAACAAAAAACCCACTAGTACTCCATACTCCTTATCCTGTTCCAACAGACAGAGTATGTTCAGGAATTCCCTGTTGGGTCTCTCCTCTGAATTACTCATCCAGCATCCAGATATCTAACTTCCTCAAGATTTAAATTGGAAAAACTTTCTGACTGATAACATACAGCCCCAGGTCTAGTGCACCCTTCCACTGAATCAGTAAGGAAGGTTAATGAAGTGATCTTACTGCATGTGCAAGAAGAGAGAAATGCTCTCTGTGCTTGCCAGCAAATCAAAGATCAGACAAGTCTGAGGCAGGACACATGGATGCACCTCTGGTTGGTTATGTTACAGTAGGAAAAATAATCTGATAAATAAAGGAAAACCTACATATGGAGGGTATATGAACTGTCCAAATAGAAAAAGTGAAAGAATAGGAGATTTACAGCACATTTCAAAATTACTTTTCTTGTTATTATTCCTTTTACATAGCTCTCTCAGGTGTTGCTAATATTTGCAGGCTAGAGGGGTTGGGTGGCAGAGGAAGGCTATCCCTTCCTGAGTTTGTAACTAATAAATGATTTATTAAATTACTAGATGATGAGAAGGTAACATTTGAAAACTTAAGAAATCATATGACACATCAAATACATATTCATACTTCTAGAACTCATCTTCATTAAATGCAGCCCAACTCCTGTCCCTAAGTAAACAGAGGAATTGTGACATTGCTATGATTCGGGGGAAAGGTTATATCACATGTTAATAATGGTAATGAAAGAGTGGAACAGGATGTCCAGAAGGGCTGTAAATGCCCCATCCCTGGAAACATTCCAGGTCAAGCTGGATGGGGCTTTGAGCAACCTGTCCTAGTGGAAGGTGTCCCTGCCCATGGCAGGGACTTGGACTAGATGAGCTTTAAAGGCCCCTTCAACTCAAAACATTCTGTGATTCACTGTGAAACTTAAATCACAAAGGTACTTTTCACAAAGATGCCCAAGAATCCTCTCTGAGCTCATGCATTTATTTCATAACCAGTGCTGGGATGGTTCCGTTCTCAAAGTATCAAATGAATCATACTGCCACTGCTTTTATTTAGAATATGAAAAGGCATTCAGCACTGTGCAATTATTAACATTGACTTTCCTCCACTCTGCCTCCAGTAAAAGGCAAGTTTCTTCAGTCTTTCATTTCATTAGCATTGCAATTTGTCCTGCAGTCAGACTGCTACAGTAAATAGCACGAAAGAGAAGCTCCAGCACCCACTCTCTGGGGTTATTCACTATCTTTTACATGGGGAAAGGGAAAGGAACAGATGCAGCTGAGAATCTCAGGCTGCAGAAAGATCAAGCCAGGCACAATTACCATTATATTCATTTGCTAAACCCTTCAGTTGAGATTTTAATTACACTAGGACAACTCATTTTATTCATTAGAGTTCAATTAAATTAATTTGAAATTCAGGATAGTAGCATTGTGGTAGTACAGCCATATTAAAGTTGAAATATAGTATCTTCTGATGGCTTTCCTCTGACAGAATACTGCTATTCACACAGAATTAATATACAGACATTTTCTTTAGCAAGCCAATGAAATTTTAGGAACAAAACTTTGGTTATTTTTAACTAGAGTCATCATAAACAGACTTCACTTGAAGATAAAATGGAAACCCATGTGTTTTCCAAAAAAGGAATTTCATGGTAAATGTTTCCTTAATGTTATTATTGAGTCTATTTTCATTTTCTGACCACAGAAAACTTGCTCCATAGTCCTTACTCTGTAATCAAAGCTTACATACAACTAGCCTTATTCGGTCTGAGGTTTTTCAAGCACAAAACTGCAGCAGAAAGAAACACACCTCCTGCTTTTAAACAGTTCTTGCTATTCCTTAGGTATTTTAGACAGATGTTTGTCGAAAATTTTCTTAAAGACCTTCAGCAACAGGGATTTCACAGTACATATCACAGCATTTTGTTTGTCTTAACAGAACTGCCCCTCAAATGGCAGGAAAAGCAAGGGACAAAATTGCATCTCATCTGGGTCATTTATTACCAACTTGTCTTCGTAACCTGTGTGATTTCAACCAAAATCATCTTCATCCCCACTGGCATCTGTGTTTTGGACTTTATTGTGCATTTTATAAATCTTCATGTTGTTACTTTAATAAGCACAGGAACTGCCAGCAAAGCCAAGCCACAGCTATTAACATCCAGCCAGGCTTCCTTAGACAGGATTCTCCTGTGGAAAGTAGTATTCCAGTCACACCACTCATGATTAACTGCTCAGGATTTCTATTCACCCAGGGAACAAGTACTTCTTCATGCTACCTAAGTTTGGAAGAAAAATTCTGCTTTGGTGAATGCAGCTCCCTCTGTTCTTCTCCCCCTTGCCCTCCACAGAATCTTTGTAGCTTTGTATCCAAATGTAGAGAGCCACATCTTGTGTAATAAGAGAAGTTTGATTTGATGCCAAAATGCTTACAAACCAAAGAAGCTATTAAAAAAAGCCTTAACTGGGGACTTAACTATTGAGCAAGGTCTGGTAGTTTCCTCCCAAATGCAAAACTGAAGCTGTCTCTGTAAGTCTGGCGGGGAAGAAGCATTTACTGCCTCAATGACTATTTAAACTCAAAGTCTGCCTAAAACTAGGTTTTCTTTTTTAAAATGGCAAAAAGCTTTCGTATAAGACTATGCTCCTTGTACTTCGTTGAAGAATACATCCAATCTTACTAAATCCTAATGAGATTAAGGAGATACATTGTTCATGCCACCAGTCAACCAACAATCAAATAGCAAGAGGAGCAGAGGCAGAGTGATGTCAGGCCACTGTGAGGAAGACAGCTTCCAATTCATCACCAGTACCAGCCACTATGATTTAAGCCTAAAGCCCTTCACCAAGGGAGGAGATTTAACTTTCTTTAGAGCTTTTAGAGATATTTTCATTCCATTTTAACTGCAGATATTTTCAGCATTTTGACTGAAATTCAACAAATTATCTAAATCATGTGTTTCCATATTGCCTGGAAAGAGGAAAACAGGAATGGGCTTTCATTCAAAATTAGATGTGCATTGATCTATCTGTGGCAAGACAACCTTTTGAAGGTGAGGTGTTTTTATTTCTTTTTAAATAGGTAGTTAAAGTACATTCCTTGCGTCTGTAGGGCTTAATTGAGATTACTCTAATTTTCTAAAAACTTTTTTACTAAACCTACATGACTAAAGAATTGATGATTGCATCTGCCAGCTAATCTAAAAGGAAAGAACCATTAAGAATTACTTTGCCTTATACTTCCTTTTCTAGAATGTGCATTTTCAATCATTCAAGAAAAAATTACTTTCCATTTATGCACTTGAAATGCCCGATTCTATGCTACAAAAACATGATTAGAAGAGATAGGGCTAAGAAGCATATGTATTCCCTTGTTTTACTTTGCTTCAAAAGCAGATAATCAGGATTAATTTTGCTGCAGAGCAGTGAGTCTTTAATGAATCCATAAATTCTAGTTAAAATCCAGTGAACATTTATTCTAAATACTTGGGTTCCATTCTATGATCTATACATTTCATTTCTTCAGTAATGTATGCTCAAGTAGAGCCTATGCTGTGCTATAAGATCTCCTCCTGCTTTCTTATTTCAATGCTTCCAAAGCTTGAGAGCAAAAGGAGATACCCTATTTTGCAGGAATCCATCATATTTTACTTGCAAATAGTTTTCTTAATTTCTGCAGCAGGTAGCTCTTTTCCTATAAAGAACAAAAACAAAAACAACCAAAACCAAAACAAAACCCAAAAACCCCACAATCAAACAAAACCTCCAAACACAAACAATCCACCTGAAACAAAGTACTTAGACAGTTGCCTTGCATGTTCAGAGTAAAAGCATACAGGTTACTGTTGAAGAATGTGTGTTACATTGCAGAACACATCTAATTAAAGATTCAACTACCTCAGATGTTGTATCACAGATCTCACGTCTGAGAGTAATTTACTTCATTGTTCATGTAAAGACAAACAAAAAATTCAGTACTGGAGCTGAATTAATGCTCTATTTCTACAAAAGTGACCATTTGTCACTAAGCATAATCCCTGATCTAAAAGGACTGCTAATGACAAAATCACTCTCAAAGGGAATGCCATCACAGCTTCCATTAACTCTCTGGAGAAGCTGCTAAAAGACTTTCAGTTCAGAAGATTATATTGCTGATGAGTTTCTGAAGTTGAGTTTTATCTGAAAATATACACATAGAAGTATATTTTACATTCAGAGGCTGCTGCTCCAAATGTCCAGATACAGAACTTGGATTTTCTTCTGTTACTCTTTTCTTGTGAAAATTTTGCTTTAGAATTAGGTCCTTCTATAGATATATGGGAATAAATTGGTAAAATTCAGTTCATGAAGTACTGTGATAGAAAGTAAAAACTTGCTTTTTCTGGATATATTTTCATATCAAGCTGTAAAAATCAATGTTGAAAAATTCCACCTATAAATCATACACATTGCTCAAAACATTTTTACAAAAAGGATTTTTTTTACATAAAAATCACCAAGTAATTAGTTCTAATGCAGTTACGGATTGACATTCTTGCAGTATACACAACAGAAAGATTAAAGTAGAACAAGGAAGGGTATTCATGTGCTGTACTGATTTAGCAAGGATTCTTGAGTATTTCCACTCTGGTCTGAACCTTAACCTTAGAGCTACACCCTAACAAATTCCAAAAGATTCAGAGTACATATATAACACATGCTTAAAATCTTAACTCACTATGCAGCAAGGCAGCAGAAAATCAAGCACATGGTGGAAACTAAGGAGGAGTCTGCCACAGGAACTACAGGAGTATGTACAGAGCTGTATAAAAGGTAAGACTATTTTCAGTCATCAATTCTACTCTACCCTTTGTATGTTAAAAACTACAGGGGAAGGGAGCACCAAACAGGAAGGGAGAAATTGTACAAGGCAATTATATTGTCTAAGGGCTATATGCAAAGCATAGACCACGAAATCCAGATAAAAAGAAATGGAGAAAAATGCAAAACAGTATTTTGCCATAGGGAATACCACATAATTCATTAGAGAAAATGGATTACATGGCCTGACAACAGTAAGGGGACACCAGAGACTGTTCTCATAGCAGAGCTAAGCTATAATTGCTGTATTGTTATAATTTTTATTGGGCAAAAACTTGCAGCTTTTACTCAGCTCTCACATTAGTGCTGCATAGCTTTTAACAAGTAATTTTGGCCCCCATTCTCCATTTGAAAAACTTGGTATTATTCTCTATGAAAACTTCCGACTTTCTTCATTTAAAGCACTGTCAGACATGTTAAAAAAATTGCTGCAATAGTATTTGCAGAAGCCAGAAGCTGCTCTTTCACTACAACACCATAAAAGAGTAGAGACATGTATGTCTCAGACTTGAAGTATCATTTCGTCCTTTACTCCTAAGGCATGAGACTGGCAAGGAAGGGGAGAAGACAAGCCAGAGAAGCTGTGAAACTCGTGAGCATACCTGTGATATTTTACCAGTGAATCTGGTAAAAAAATGGCCAAAACAGCAAAAAAAGTTGGCAAGGTGCACCAACCCTTTGGTTACTCCTTGCCCAGCAATCATAGCCAGGTAGGACCCTCCACTGCCCCAGAAGTAACATCTCCTTTTCAACTAGAAACTTTTGAACTTGTCAAAAGATCATTTGCTTTAAATCACTGAGAAATCAATTGTGTTGACATACCAGTATTGTGTTCCTCCAGGGCCTCCTTTAGTGGCTATCACGTCCTTTCTCTTAAAACACATCATGAAATTAATAATTCAGATGGCAACTGATTACCCTCCTGGTGTTTCTCAATTGGTTTCTCCTGTCTTTTTAAAACATTACTAATTGACATTAATTTTCTCATTACTATCTCAGCAGTTTATTTGATGGGCATTTCACAAGGAAATATCTACAATAGATTTTTTTTTTTATGAGTGCCTGTAGTTAAATAGCTTTAGGGAAGTACCACAGAGCAAAGTGCTGGAATTGAGAGTAATGCACTCAGATCACATTTTTATGTAGTGTGGGGGTTACATGCACCCCTACAGCACTTGTCACACCAGCAGTGGAAGCCCAGTCAAATAGCAAGTGAATTTTCCTGAGATACAGTCTTCTTTTGATTATTCCAAAACCTTAGAGTGCTGTACCACAACAGTATTATTACATATCAGACATCCACCTTCTTTAACATCAAAGACCATGGCAAGCTCAATGGTTGTTTTTAAATCCTCCTTTAGTGTTTCAAAATATGAGGGAAAAAATTCTGCATGCATCATTGTGTCTTGGTCCTGCTTGTTCTCTAAGCACACAGAGATACTTACACCACTGTCTCAGGGGCATTCTGCAGCTCAAAGTTCTTTTTGCACAGATTTACCTCCAGTTACAGTAACTATCTCATGTAGCCTCTGCTTCACTTTCCCTTGGCCAAAAGGAGCTACTGAAGAATTTGATTCGTGTAGTTCTTTGTGTTATTTGACAATGTACTTTACATTTATTTTTCAAATATTCTTACTGAACCAGTTTACATGGTCTCACATCCACTGACTTCTCTAAGGAAAGACATGATCTCTGGAGACCTGCCCAAAATCAAACAGAAAGATGGCATTAAAGTTGTGAGCTCTTGCTATGATATGCTGTTCTATGTTGCTTTGTTTCAGCAGATGACAAGGGTGAGGGCATTGGAAACCTGACGCTTTCTGGTTTTAGCCTACAGCACCAGTTTCCTGTAGCTATGTCTTTATTCACTGTCTCCAAAACGCAGTAGTCAGTACCCATTTGGTTATCTGAGATAGCACTGCTCCCCATCTACAGACCATACTGGCATACACATGAAAAAGTGAAGCAGAACATATTCCACCCGTCTCAAACCAGGTTTTAAGGCATTACATAGATAAAAGTCCTCAGAGAGAGCATGGAGACACACTGGAGACACAGAAGTCTTTCCCATTCCAGAGATCTCTGCTCCTTGCATCTTGGTTCTACAGGGTTGTCACAGAAAAATAGGAAGTTGTCCTATTTTCTCTTTGTGTGTTCAGAGCTGGAAGAATTTTAGCTCATTTTTGACTGCTTTTTGGTGGGGGGCTTTGAAGTGGGAGATACTTCAAGGGGGAAAACTAGATAAGCAGAGAACAGAATGGCTCCATCCCTTCTTTTGAGAGGACAGAACACTTGAAATAACGAAAAGAGGTATTCAGCACAGAAATGTATCTTACTGCTATTTCAGTATTCCAATAGGAAAAGGAAATTGTTAACTGCTCCTTTCTCTTTACAGCTAAAAGATAATAAATAATGGATTCACTTGTTCTTGCTTTTTCTCTCCTAATAGGACTTGAAGAAAAATAGCAGGGTCATGCAAGTCACCCTTGGTTGCCACATCTGGACTGGACTGAGGTTAGCAGCTTGGTCAGCAGCTTTTTTATTATTTATGTACACTACATATGCCCACACAGAAAGGAAAAGGTGGATTGCAATGGACTACTTTTGATATGGAAGCTTCTCAAAGATAATTTTGTTTTGTTACGCTGTTCCTTGAGCCTTTTCTCCTACAGTAATGTAGCATGACATTGCCATCAAATGTTAGTAATGTGCCAAAAAAATGCCTTTGGGAATGCCGTGCCTCATCTCTATTCTGTCTTGCTTTTAACTCCTGTGCATTCCAGAGAGTCATTATGGTGATTCTTTCCTACAGTTCATCTAGTGACTGGATCTGTAAGGAACATATGAGGAAGTTTAAAGCATTATGAATCTTCGGGGAAAATTTTGGCTTTGGCTGTATACTTCATATTTTGCATCCTTAACTTGAGCATAGTAATTTAAAAGCACTCAATACAAAACCTGTCTTTTTCTAGTAACCAATCTGGAAAAAAAAACTTTAAATCTCATCCCATATAACCGACTTTCCATCTGTACAGAAGGACCAGATCCTTAGGAAAACAGAGATAACAGCTCCTTGAGTTCATGCAGTAATTGGCTTCAGGGATGTTCCTAATGATGTTCCTAAAGGCAATCATTCAGTAATTTGCTGGTACATTTCACAGCCATTTGCTTATACCACAAGAAATTTGACCCTCAGGCATCCTGGCTTCTGCAGAGACTGTGAACAAATCTCTTTTTAAGAATCTGGTCCCTCTATTTCTTCTCTTTCCAGCTCCATGAATTCTCTATATTAGCCTCCAACTTTTTAACACTTTTGTATTGAAGCAGTTTTCAGTTGCTTATATTCTTGCTTGGTTTTGTTGGTTTTTCTTGCTCATACTGTTTTTCAATACAGCAGCAACTTTAGCAAGTTATTGAGAACAAACAAGAGCCTGCCTTTGTGTTCCACTGAAGTAACTAGGGTGAAAAAAAAAAAGGACAAAAGCTCTCCCAAACTGCAAGGCCAGTGCTGAGATGTGGTGGCGATACATGCACAGCCCAGTCCCTCACTGCAGGAGGGCACTGCGGGGGAATGAGCCCTGAAGTGGTACAGGTTCTTCCAAGATTTCACCTCAGAGCCACAGCCACACACCAGTTTATGGTATGTCAGTCAAATGACAACACATCTACAGAAACACTTCACAAACCTACCTCTATAGTCCAATGGGAATCACTCTTTCAGTCATTCACCAGCAGGTCCCTGTCTAAAGGAACTCACTTGTACTGTATAAAGGAACCAGAGAGATTGCCAAATAAAGGCCTGGAAAAGTTTGGGACAGAAAGAAGGATAATGGATGATTTTTTTTATCCTTAATCCTCCTCTTCAGAATCATTCCAAAAGACCAAACTGCTTGCGGTAAAGTTTCCTGACTTTGAATTTCAGACATGAACCCACATATAAAAATTTCAGCTGCAGAATATCTAAATTGACAAAGTTTTTAGTAACTCAAAACAGGCTCTTACAAAAGTTTTAGTAGCTACCAGCTCTGCCTACAAATCTAAGTTTAGAGGAAATACATTTAAGTGTTGAAAATAACAGCAGGATGGCTGTAGGACAATTCAGTCTGGTAGTAACAGTGAAGTTATAACAGAGTAGACTGTATATACAACAGCTGAGATGAACTCCAGTAAAACTTTTATGGCCTTACCATAACATCATCATTTTCTTTTTGCGATATGTGTCAGAGAAAAAAGCTACCTAAGGCATTTGAAATTCAAGACTAGAAGCCCCAGAGATGGGTTTGGAAATGTGAAGGTGTGTGATAAATCTATCAGATAGTTCTGCAATTTTTGAAAGAGATGGATATGCCTTTTGTGCATATGTGCAGGAAAGATTCCTTTTTCCCACTCTACATAAGCTTTCTCTCTCCTACTAATATGCTGTTGAACACTGGCATTAAATACTTCAGTAAACTAACAAGAAACAGAAAAAACACTACAAAATTTATAGACTGAAGAAAAAGCAGCATTTCATACCAGTAAGGGAAATTACAATTTTGTCTTCATCTACTATCAAAGTTAATGCTTGTGACTGTGCCACTAAACAGAGGTGGCTATATTGAGAAGCACACATAGAAAATACAAGTATTTATTATTTGGTACAAATAACAAAATTTTTTTTATTATTGATCATTCAAGAAGAATGTAGCTTATCAGTTATTTTTCCCTATAATGTCTTCTGTATTGGAAAATATTTCACAAAATCAGATAGAGTGGAACTGCATAAGAAGGGACAGCTTTTACCTGGCTCTATTTTACTTATCAGGATATCATATTAAGTTCTCTATTACAAAACATTGCTGTTCACTTGCATCACAGTAGGAAAGTATAAACAAGTTTCAAAGTAAAAGTATTTTGTAGGAATTTTTCTATTACTCTCCTTAATTGAAAATTTTTAACCACTGTAACACAACACAATATATTGCAGAACTCCTATTAAGCATCAACAAAATTGCTTTGCTACCATAATACAATAGCAAATAGGATTCAAAAGAAGTAATCTAATTTTTATCTAATTCTAGTAATTTGATTTTATCAGACCTTACTTATAGCTGTGGAAATCAGAGTCATAGCATTAAAGAATTCTACTTCATAAGCCAGCATAAACTGAAGTACTTTAGATTTTTTCTTGATATTTTTCAGATGAGAGTGAATAAAAATAATTTTGATGTATCCTGACCAAACCACTACGTTGTGTTCTCATCTATGATCTTCAGGACTCATGACTATACAAAACAGCTACTTTGTTCTTGTACTTATAAGGCAATAGAAAGAACATGGCCCATCCTATCCTGGGGCATGCTGTACTCTCTTATTATTAAGAATCAATTCTTGTGGGTTTTTTTGGGTGTTTTTTGTTTTTGGTTTTTTTTGGGTTTTGTTTTTTTGGGTTTTTTTGGGGTTTTTTTTTTTTTTTGTTTTTTGTTTTTTTTTACTCCTAGGAATGCCATGCCAATTCAGTTAGCCAGTGTTTAACAGATCTTCGCTCTTCCTACCCTACTGCATGCTTCTTCACACAGACACTGTAATTGAAATGGTCACAAATGCTGGCAGGCTTTTTCACTAGAAAAGATGTATCTGTCTCTAACACCAGGAGAAAAATAACACAGAGATGTTTTACTGGAGAAATTTGCTATTGAGAATTGGTTACATGGATAACAAGCAATTCTGTTTTGGTGTCCGTCTACCTGATTCAGTTTGTGGCAAGCTCCTGGTTTCCCAGAGCATTCTACACCAATGTATTTTCTCTCCCATATACCTGAAAGGTCCGTAACAGTATCTGTGGTGGAACAGAAAAATGCAGCTTTTCAGGAATTGTAAGGGAACAGGAATTGGTTTTCTAGGCCAGTTGTTTAGCCAATCTAGTTTGCAAAGACCATTAGTCCTGAAACAGGAGGCACAAAACTGCAATGTAATGACAATTACACTTTTCATTTACTCAGAAGTATTTTCTAGTACATGACAAAGGTCAGAAATAATTCCAGTGCCTTTGAAAACTTCCAAAGTAAAGATTTTCGTTATGAAAGGTAGAAGGGGAAGCAACTTTTAGCATGAATGCTCTCTAAAAAAATTTGCAACCTTTTAGTCAGCAAATTTCAAGGCTCTTGAAGAGAAAAATACACTCTGCAGAAATGAGGGGGTTTATTATTGGCTTCACAACAGGGCATATCAGATCCAGGCAAAGAACATGCATTTGATTTTTAGCCTCTCTTATACCACATAGCATCACCTATCCAATTACAAAATATTTTAATATGTATTTAACCCTTTAATAATGCCATAGTTGTTTTGAACCTTCATGGAAGATTAAAAAAGCTTTCTTAGCACAGAACACAGTATTTTGAAACTAAGCATCAGTGATTAGGTGTAGTGGGTTGACCCTGAGTGCCAGGTACTCACCAAAGCCACTCTGTCACTTAGCTCCATAACTGGACAGGGAAAAGAGAATACAACAAAAAGTTACTGAGTTAAGGACAGGGAGAGATCACAAATCAAATACCATCTCAGGAAAAGCAAGACAAAATGGGCTATTAACTGAATTTATTACTAACAAAATCAGAGCAGGATAATGAGAAGTAAAATCAAATCCTCAAAATACCTTCCTCCCACATCTGCCTCTTTCCTGGGCTCTTCTTCCTTCCCCACAGAGCTACAGGATGGCACTGAATGGGGCTTATGGTCAGCTCATCACACTTGTTCCTGCCACTGGTCAGGGAGAGGAGTCTGTTCCAACATGGGGTCCCTCCCACAGAAGACAGCTATATATGAACTTCTCCAGTGTGAGTTCATGCCATGGGCAACAGTTCTCCATAAATGCTGTAATGTGTGTCACTTTTCCACAGGGAACAGTCCTTCAGGCCACAGCCTGCTCCAGCATGGCTCTGTCTTGAAACCAGTTGGCATTTACTCTGCTGGAAGCTTCCAGAAGCCATGCCTATAGACCCCACTACAAAAACCCAGCCACACAAACCCCATACAACATGACTATTAGCTGCACATAACTGTAGAAGGCATCAGAAATCTTACATTTTGCAAATCTGTCATTAGTTTTTATCTTTTCTTTACCAAAAAGAGCCCTGATACTGTGAAATATGCTAGACAGCATACACCACAACCCAGTGCCTTTAGAGAAAGTGTTATCAATTAGATATACATTCCAACTGTCACAGCTAAGCAATTTCTTAGACTAAAGGGATTCTGAGTGATTTCATGGTACAAGAAAAGATAGTCAATGTAACACAGAAAACTTAACATTGTCAGTTGAGGTGTCACAGGGCAACTGAAAAGATTTTATTGCCCACTTGAAAAATTAAGAATAATCATGGAAGGGCTTCAGTGAAACACGTATCTGAATACCTCAGCATATAAAGGACTAGGTTTTTGTACAGAAAAAATCCCTGGTCCATATATTCAGTTTTTTTGCAACCAGAGCCCTAGAAACAGCAGTGCTTAGATTTAAATTGGATTTTGGAGGACTCTTTTTCCAGTGGCAGACAGTCAGAAATCCTGCTGACTGTCCAATTTACAAGAAACAGATGATGTCATTTTGATAACGCTCCCTTCTAGGTTCACATACCCAAGTGTTCAGACAAATTCAGACTTTGTGCTTTCTGTGAAACATCCAAAAAGGTCAAGATACCAAAGATTGAAGAGAAAAAGAAAGACAAGAAATGAAAATACAGTACTTACCAACTCTGCATTTTAACCCTATAAGCTATGTGAGTGTCTGTGTGTATATTATGTTGTGTTCAGAAAAATACAGCATATATTCTTGATTCCTACAGGTATGAAACAATAGGGCTCAAAATCACATAAACGGGAAAATGTTGCAATTGTAGTAAAGCATTTATTTATTTTAAAACATTATTACATTGCTAGAACATTATTTCAAAATAAAACTCATAATATATTCATTTAAAACTAGGCTGTTAAGCATATATATTTAAATTTTAATTTTCATACACACAGTGAATGAAATTAATATTTTACAAGTAGCTCTTTATAATAGACTTTATGAAAAACATGTTTAAAAATAACTGCCAAAATCTGCCTCTTTAAATATACAAAATATCCTTGCTGTGCTGACAATACTTCTCTCAAAAGCCAAAAATATCTAAATCAATAACTGAGTCCACATCAAATCCTACTGAAAACAGTAGTGACATAAAAATGTAAAAGCACTGTACAAAGTAAGTACAGCCTTTTTTTGTTTCAGTACTGTACAAACCTAGTTTTGTTTTAAAAATGTTTTATAAAAACTGCTACTTTTGAATTTAACATCCTTTCCTGTGTGCAGAAGAAAGTGAACCACTGACATTACCTCTGCTTACTAAAATGCCTCCTTCTCAGAACTAAGATTTAAAGAATTCAAAGGGAATTTTACCACTTATTTCAATGACAGAAGAACTGAAACTTCTCTTCAGCGTATCATTTAGCAATCTCTCTTGGTTTCCCCCTGTTTTTATAATACAAAATATTGCAAATTATTGAATACACTAACTGATGAAATCAGAACTCAAGTACTTCAGATTACACTGATTAGTTCACTGTAAAACTTGAGTGTTCAGTTTAAAAACCCAATAGCAAATAATGCTGCATGCTTTTTAATCAAGAACCCTTTCTCTTCTCTTGCTTCCTTTACAGTCCTTTCTGGCATTTCTTTTGGAATGAGCTTTTTAAGAAGGTGCGGTATCCTGGATCATCCACATATTCATTCTTAAAGCGAGAACTCAATACTCTCTGCCTTTTCTTCTCTCCCAAGATAATATCAGCTCCATAAAATGTGTCTTCAAATCTCATGTCAGAAGCTGTAGACTAAAATTCGACATTAATTATACATACATACAATTTTTATATTTCCGTATTCTGCATATCCTATTCAGTGTTAAATTCTCTATGTCGATAGTGTTCCTTGGAAACACGTAACTAATATCTGTTGTTAGTCTGGATTTTATCCAGGTATCACACAGTCATGACAATTCAAGCTGAGAAAACAGTGACAAGGAAGTGATGCAACCATTGGACAGGTTTGATCCTAGAAGTATCACGTAATATTCACCACCTTGTGTTATTCAGGAAAGTTTTAAATGCAAGCTACTATGTCATGCATGGCTGAAAAGAAGCCTGGGCACTGCCTAATTTGCAAAGAATCAGGGTCACAGTTTGGTCACTCGTCATCAAATTTATACCAGTTGGGAATCCCCACTAACAAAGCAGTGGAATAACAAATAGCAAGCCATTTGGGCAGAATCAGAAGCAAAATATTTTGGATCAACTTAAACTGGTGGAGTCACAGAAGAATTCCCAAGATTAAGAAAAATGTCATTTAGAAGGAACTGGTGTCTTTTACTTCAGTAGACAGAAAGAGGATCATAGGCTGTCTTTAATCTGCACTGTGTTCTGCACAAGAAGGGGAAGGAGGTGTTGGGCATACCTTGAGGACTAACCTATATATTTCTAGAATTTAAGGCACTAGTTAAAAATCATGCAGAAGTCTCAATAACAGCTGTGGTGTTTTTTATTCAGCTGACCAAATTTAACGTTTTTAATCTATAGTTAACTCCCTAATTAAGTTAATAAACAAATAAATAAAAAGACATATTGATTTCTAAAAAATCAATTTTAAAAACAATAGCATAAACCCCATTATTATTATTCTTATTATTATCCTGAGAATGCAATAATTTGCATTCTAAACAAAGAGATAGCAAAAAAAGATGGTACGCTTTCCAAGTATAATAAAAAACTCTATTATGTGGTTCTTTTACCATTTTCCAAGACATCTATCTTAACCCTAATCAGGACACTGAAAGATTTGTCCAGTTATCCCAAATTCCCTGACAGAAAGAACTGTCTTAAGACAAGTAAAAACAGCCATCTCGTCCAACTAATGTATGGAAACACTTTCCCTTTTCAACCTCCATGAGTCATGCTCTTTGTGAGGTTCAACACTTTTCCACTAGGAAGGCATACATAAAAATGTAGCTGGTGGATGTTGTTTGAAACAGCAGGGAACTTAAAAAAAAGCAGCAAAGATTTGGTTTAAAACCAAAGAAGACTAGTGAAATGCTGGTAAGTCCTGCCAGCAACATTAATGAGTTTTGATCAGTTATATTGTGTCTTACAAGAAGTTAATTGCCTTTTTATAAAATTAAGGCTTTTAAAATCACAAAGCTCTGAGAATATGGAAAGTTTTTTAAAAACAATATGTGTTATAAGCATACTGGAAGAATAGAATGTCTGTCAATTTAAATGTTTACTAACTTGGTCATTCCTGATCTGACAGATGACACAAACACAATGTCCCTTTTAGGAGAAAAGAATTATGTCTGACAACAGCACTTGCCTGTACTGGAAGAACAACTAACCATCTCACTAAACACCTCCTAATTGGGCTGATTTAGCCCCTCTTAAGTGTATAGGCTTCATAGAACATGACTCTGTTTAAACTGAAAATACAAAATAAATCCTAGTATAGTGTTACTGGTCTTTTGAGACTATATACTTATATATATTACAAAGTTAGCATCAGCAAATACTCACTAAACGTGCTTTTACTCTCTTAGGAAGCTCTTCATCCAGTGTATATATTTCTTCTCTCTTCACTACTATTTGAGAACCATCTTCAAACTCCAACTAATTGAAAAAAATGGGTATTTGAAAATAAAATAATAATTAACTCTTGCAGGAAGTTCCTGGAAATGTTTCCATATGAAAATACATAAGCAAAGAAGATTTATATACAGACATTTTGCTATCTGTTTTAGGAAAAAATTAGGCTGAAACATAAAAAAAATGTTATTTCTTAGGAACTGCAACACATACCTCATTGAAAATAATACCTAAGCAAAAAGACTTCAAAATCAGCACTGACATATATATAATGAAGTAAAATTTTTTAGATTAGGAATGCTGCACAGTAACAAGACAGGCAACATTATTTTGCAGGACTGACATATTAAAATGTCCTTGTGTCGTTTTTATTTGTCTTTAATTTTTTTACTTGCTTCTAATAAATAAAAAATTAATTTTAACGTCCCATGATTCAAGGTTGAGGAAGACCATGTCAAAAGAAAGTGTGAGTGACAACTAAGGAAATACCAGTTAACAGAATTTTATTGAATCTGATGGAATTTCTTTTAAATGCTCTGTTCAGAAGATGAAAAGCTTTATCATGCTTAGGTTTAGATATAATCCAATATGAACCCTGTTAGCAGAAAATGAGAAAGGAAATGTAACTAGGTGTGAGGAATGTTAAAATGCTAAGGCTTTGAAGCATTTAAGCTTTTTCAGTAGCTGCTGATTTTTTCCTCTATTTTAATACTTCATCTAACAGTTGTGAATTTCAGCTATTATCTGTGACTGCAGTTTAGCTCCCACAGAAACTAAAATTTAAAGTTTTGTATAAAATTGGGAATCCCATTCTACATCCTTAGTTGATTTACTGAGACTATGTGAATGACAACAGTCTATCTGACTAGAAGAATAAGCACAAATACAAACATAGGAGAATACTGACTTATCAAAAGTATTATTACAAATGAACAATCATTTGTTCAAGCATGAACAAGCATTTGAACTTATAAATGGACTGTGGTTTTTTTTCAAATTAAAAGCTTGCTGTAGCTGAGTATGTTAGATTAATATGTGAACAGCTGAAAAATCCGTATGTCCATTCTCAACAACCAGGTTACAGACAATGATCTATTAACTTCTTTAAAAACATTTTTTCCACTGCAACTAATAGGGCTGCACAAATCTGGAATGCATATAAAATGCATACAGCGCACAAATGGATAAGAAAGTCTTGAGAATCATCCTTACTCCTTTCTGCTCCTGTTATTAACCCCATAAGCCTACTCTGTTAGCAGTATGTTTGAGGAACTTAAAGGTCAATTTGCCTTAAGCTTGTTTGATTAAGTGATGGCAATCCAGGGTGCAGGAACAGTCTTTCTGCAATTCCTGCTCCTTTCTGCACAACACATTTGGTAACGTTTTTGCATAATATAGTTAGTAATAAAGTTTTTTGCATTCCTGGTGAAAAAACTGGGTAGGAAATTAACTCTGACACTTCATGTGATAAGAAAATCTCTTCTTAAATGGTCAGTATATTTGTTTTTACTTACAGTGTGCAGTAGGATGCAAACACTTCATACCAGAGAATGCCATGCTTGCGGTATGAAATATATTGCAATTTACCATGAAGAGTAAGTGGAAGTTCTTTAGGTATCATCCAGCATATCACACTGTAAATAATTTGCCTACACTTGATAGTAAACACAAGAGCTTCTCTAAGACTTTCACCAGTATCATGATTCACGCAAAATATAAACCCACCATCTCTAATAGCTCTGATTCAATTCAGATTGCAGATCCTACACTTCAAATCATCAGTTTTAATAAGCAAGTTATTACACTTGGATTCTGCTGCTGTACTGTGTCTGCATGATATGTTACTGTCTTCATGAGATTTTTTTCTATAAGCACATAATAAATTAAAGAAAAGCTGTTAGAAAGCAATTAATGGAGTGAATGGATAATTTAATACACTCTAAGTCAATTGTGAACCTCAATATCAGAAATCATCAAAAAGTCAGATGTAGATCACATTAATAATTTCACTTGAGCACCTGCTTCATTTGGCTGGTTTAGCTCTGCTTAGGGATTGTGTAGGATACTCGCTGACAAACAAAAACTCTGTGACACAAATTCTGGTGCATTGTGTCATAGCTCCTGCATGCTCAAGTACTGCTGCATTTGGTACAAATGTCTGATCAACATGACAAAAATTCACAGACTTTTTCAGCTAGAACAGATTTGCTTTTTGAGATCTAAGAAATCACACAGAAGGCTGGGTAAGAGAATCTCAAAGGTGCAACATAGCTCACACCAGATGAAAATAAACCTTTTTGTATGTGTGAGTCCTGGGAGCTTTTAGACACTGTTTAGAAAGACCCTAGGAAGAACTACTAGTATGTCTTGAAGTTAATCTTGCACCCTTCCTGTCATAAACTTTTTGTAATCTGTGACCACAGCAGCCTCCTCTCTCATCCTGAAGACGAAATACTTGCTTTTCTCTATAGTTCTATGTATTGCAATATGGACTCCCTCTAATCTTTAAACTTTGTCATTTCCCCCCATGATAGGGGTTGTTAGAGGCAATTTACAGGAATTTATGTTTGCTATGCTGAGGAACACTAAATCTTGCTGAGCCTCCACATGATTATCCATTGTCCTTTAAAAAAACTCATTTAATCATGTTGTTCAAGGGGTCTAAAATAAGACAATGTTGTTTGTTTTGACTATGTCATATTCTTTCAAATATGAAAGACAACAACATTCATCTAATTTACCTCACAGTATTCCTCAGAAGACTAGTTGTACAAAAGATTAAACGATTTGAAGATTAATGTTACAACAAAAAAATAAACTTCATACTTTATAAAGAACTTTTGACCTTCACAAGATAACACAGCTGCTAAATATAAGGGAAGAGGTAAGATCTAGAGACTAGCTCAAGACTTTAGGCATTTGAGCACTTGAATTCGATTGCAAGTCATTGGAAAAGTGAGAAGGTCAATGCAGCAAGTAATTTAGCTTCCCAGTGCCTTAATTTATCTAGAGATATAATAGTAAATTTGCCATTCTGGTACAGTAATGTGAGGCCCCCTGATGAAAAGAGTTACATA